CTTATTTTTTCCCTCCCTTTTCTTTTCGATCCAAGTCACCGTCGTCGATGCCGCCACCGCTGCCACCGCCGCCGCCGCCGCCGCCGCTGCCGCACCGGTGGCTCTATCGCCCACCGATGTGACCGGACTGCAGGTGTCACAATGGCCGGCCATTGTTTCCGACCATTGTCGATACCTACCCGGTTAAGCTGGCAGTCTAGCGGCCGCGCAAATCGGATCCGGGCGTGTGCCAACAATGACCGCTATTTGGCCACTAATTTAGTGCGCCGTTCCCTGTCATCGCGGGAAATTATATCACGAGAAATTATGTCTAAACTTTAGGCCGCGATCGGACCGTGATATGCGGCCTGAAATTTTGTCTCGCAATCAATTTCATCAACGGCGGTAAAAGGAAATTTATTCGTTCTTTAAACTGTTTATATGCTAAAATCAGATAGAACAGTGAGTTTAATTACCGAGCAAACTCTCGTGTTTAACATTGCGAATTAACACCGGCGGCGCCTCGCGGACTTTTGTTTGTATGGGGAAAAAGCTCTATCATCACAAAAGTTTGAGAACCGCTGATTTGTGAAAACTTTCGCTGTAAACGATAACGACGCGGACGCTCTTCGACTGGCGCGAGCGCCTTTCGGCGCCCCGGAAGATCGGCGATTGAATTTTACAACTGTATAAATACGGCGACGAGTCGTCAAGCGAGAACATTTCTTGAGTTTACTTCTCTTTTCTCCCGTTTTCCTTTCTCTCTCTCTTTCTCTCTCTTTTTGTTTGCCCCAAGCGAGGAGACGGCGACGTCAGGGGCAGGGGGGCACGAAAAAGGAGGCATTTTCTCGTTGCAAGATTTACGACGTCCAAGTATCGACGAGAGGCGAACGAGCGCGGAGCTTCGAGGAGTTTCCCAGTCTGAATCGCCGGAAAATCGACGGCGATGCCGACGAGAGTGTCTCTGTATCTATTTTCCTGCCGGCCGTCCGTCCGTCTGTCCGCCCGTTCGTTCCTTCCTCCGGCAATGGCGAATCCTTCACGAGCGCGCGCGGGGTTAATTTTTAAAGTTCCAGACGAACGAAACGACCGGGGACTCACGTTTCGAGCTCGTGCTCGATTTTATGAGAAACGAGGATTATTGATTGTTCGCGATCGTTCATCCGATTCCAACTCCGGAGGCGGAGACTCGTGAGTTAATCATTTCAAATCAAATCAAAAATCGTAACGTCTGCAAGTATGACTTAAAATTTATAAGTCATCGTAATACGTATTGTAATTAAAAATATGCGTTATACTATTAATTAATTATGGGTACTACACATTTTTTTTCAAGCGAAATCTTGTCAAGTTGTCTGCTTTTAGACTCAAAGAATTTATATATCTAATACAATATAAAAACTTTAATGAATAATAATATTAAATTTTTTAAATATATAAAACAGTGATTTTTATTTATAAAAAAAAATGTAAATAAGTAATCTTGTAATGTGTTATTAATATGTTCTCGTTTGCATAATAAATCGTTTCAATGAAGATCTCGTTAAAATTCACCGTGGATTAAATTCATAATGATATTAGAGACAGAAAAATCCCGTTTACGTTCGACAGTAGGAGTATCAAAGCACGACGGAACTGACGGAATTTTTTTTAAGATGACACGTTTGAAAAGTTCGATATCACAATGCGTATATCCGTGCTCCGTATATTCCGCGCGGTTAAGAGAGAAAATCCATCGCATATCCGCCGCCGCGATTCAGCTCACATTTCCGCTTTTCTTCCTCATCGGCTATAACCCAGGTTAATTTTAAAAAGCCCGAGACGAACGAATCGTTCGATTCCCCTCCTTCTTTCTCTCCGCGCCACCCTAAAGCTCAATTTCACGTTAGAATTATCGATTGTATGCGATCGAGTTTCGTCGAGTCGAGAACTCCGACTTATACAACAAGGTGGAAGGAGCAGAAGGTAGAATGACAAGGATGAAGGACGAGAGAGAGAGAGAGAATGAGGGAGGGAGGGGGAGTAAAGCGAGAGGGAAAGTGTATGTGAGAGAGTGAGAGGCGTTGAGGGTTGAACGAACCAGCCCGAGCACGTTTTACAAGACGCGACAAACTTTATTTACCTGAAACTTGGGCTTTCAATCTTGCTAGAGTCTACCTCGGCAATGTCAAATACGAATATTGATTATGGCGACGAAAATTGATTATAGTAGGATCGTGGCGAACGGAAACTTTTCTAATGAATGCGCAACATCAGCGGTGCCGAATACGTGGAGTTATCTGCCACTGCTTGGAATTCTTACGTCGTTAGAAAAGCATGTTCCACGTAAAACGCCAATCGATTTTTATCAGCGAGCAAAGTGTTCTCTAGAAAAAAAGAAAGACGCACACTCCGGAAGGATAATACTGCAAGGACTTCGCTATCAGGATCAAGCGCGACGATGGATTTACGGTGCTCGAGTGGTCCTTTACGGTCGAGCTAGCAGAGTCTGTCTAGGATGCTGCTGAGCCCCGGGGCGAGGATTGTTCAGCTAGTGTCACGAGAAGCGATTTAAGCTCGATCCTAGCCGTGGATTACCGCGAGATCCTTCGACCCGGACCAAAGCGAGTTAGGATTACAGACCCTCGTTTGATGCTAAACTCGATCCACACGCTCGACTCCTACCACCGCGTCGGACAGTACCGATTATCCTCGCGCCATTTTGTCGCGGTTCTCTCGGGTCATTTAGATATGCAGCATCGACCACTAATTTCTTAGCACTGAGAAAAATTTCATTTCGGCATTCAATTTCGGCATTCATTTTCAATTTCAGAATAACCTATTGGTCAACCGTTGGACGAAAAATTTGTACTTTTTTAATTATACAACATATTTTGAATAATAAAAATAGATAGAAAGTCAAAACATGATGTGTATATAAATATACAAATAAATTCAAACATTTTTAATTAAAAAAATTATATATAAATTTTTTTAGCTTTATTATTAAATATAAACAATTTAATAGATGATCCATTAAATTGTTTTTGTTTTTTTATATAGCAAATAATCATTTCAGAAAAATATTTGCCGCACGCGGCTTGTACGAGTCTTCGAGAAAGTGAAAACGTTCGTGAAAAAACAAAATGATTGTAGCAAATTGAGCCACTTTACTATATATATATATATATATAAATGGAATATCTACCTTTCCTTGCGTCATTTCTTTCCCTCTCTCATCAGAGAGTTCGCAGTAATATTTTATCCATCCACTTCACCTTTTCGGAACCGTGTAATATTACGCGTCAAAAATAAATCGCGGACGTTACGTTTCAGCTGGTTGTCCGGAATAAGAAAACCGACGAGGAAATTCAGCAATCAAACGTGGAAATCTCTCGGGCAAATATTTTCATTTGTTCGCAAGTGGCGGTCGGAAATTGGGGCGGTTGAATAATGACTGCGCGGATCAAGCAAACGTGAGGAAAAATAAATATCCGAGAAAGGATGGATTAGGTCGGGGATAGAGAGAAAGAGACGGACAGATGTGAAGGAAAGATTCGAAGGAAAGTAAAAGAACGCAAAAAAATCAGACTTCCATTTGTATGTACAAATGAAGTAGACGTATAAAACAGAAGAGAAATGAAAAGAATAAACTCGCTCGACCATAAATCGCGTACATTGTACAGCGAAATCACGTCCATGAGCAAGAAAGTAAAATTCCACTTCGAATACAATACTTTATACGGATTTTAATACATCACGTAATTACCGTCTGTTGAAATTCCGTTTTCACCACGCCCCTCTATTTGTTTTCGCGCGAAAAAAAAGGAAACGTGATTTCCGCCGTATGATCGTAAAACGATTTATCCTGCCGCCGTAGCAATTAATTAAGTTGCCGCGTCTCTCCAGACGTCGCTGGTGTAATTTAACGTAGGTCCCCGGTGACTGAAAGCTAGCTCGTGAGCCAGCAACGA